CCCCAAAACCCCAAAACCCCAAAACCCCATACACTAAGATCTTAACCCATATGTCGGAGAAAAATTAAAATATATATTATAAAAGATATCCAAATCTAAAAATGAATAGCAACACAAATAAAAATTATGGTAGAGGATCAAATAGAAAGTAAAACAACAACTAAAACAATAGAAGATATAAGGCTTATCGCGAGAAAAATTATGATGAAATAGGAAAATAATAATACCCAAATGGTGATTAGAGTTTCATCTCTAATATTGAAGGAAATTCAAGCTAATCTTAAATTTATAACTAAGATTAAAGCTTCCAAGGATTAGATATTATGAGAAACAATTCAAGTAAGCAAGACAATGATAATGAAGCTACTATATTTACGAGAGATGATCTATCTAATACAGGTATCAGGTAGAGTAGTTTCTAAGAAGAATCAAAAACATATAACTTTTCCTTTACTCCAACCAAAGATCAGACGAGAGAAACTCGGTAAACTTAGAATACTAGATCAAAAGTATATTCATATGGAAGAGGTTAGAATTAAAGAAATAAGAATTTAAATGAAGATTAGCATTTTTAAGAAATGAGAAACAATAGAAATCAGAGAGCTGGAGTAAATGATAATCATCAAACTAGTACATAAAATAATTCATCCATTTAAACAGAAGGAGGTACTCATGATAATAGAAATAGAAGAATTTAAAGAGATAATAGAAATAATGAAAGGCCAAGGTTCTACAGTACTAATACATTAAAGGAGCTTATTTAGTTTGAAACATAAGCTTTAGTTTAAAAACTAATTAGTTTTGGAGATCTTAATCAAAAGATTAATGGGACTTTTTATACAAGAGAAGCATTTTCATTTTTTGTCAAAATATTATTTAGATTGTTAACTGATGAAAATGTTCTGTCTACTGAACTAAATTTGATTTTTTCTCACTTTCTTGATTCAAAGTTTATGAATACCATTGAAGAAGAATATTTAAGAGATATGAGTAAGATAAAAAATTAACTTGAATACTACTATATGCTAGTTGATTTAGAATATGTATTGAAGGTATTCGAATTCATTTTAGATAAATTTAGCTCTTACATTAACCAAATTCCTATCTTGAAATATTCTGAATTCATATAAAATGGACTTCTATAATTAAGAGACAATTTTGATCCAAGGGGTCATCATAATTATTAATTTGAATTTATAAAGGATTTGGCATAAAAGCTTGTTTTAAGGAGATTTAGGTTAAAAGAAGAAGAGAAAACTAGTGATTTGAATAGATAAATTTTGAATGAAGATACAATTGATAACTCTGTCACTGACTATTAGGATTAGCCTCCAGATGATTTCTAAAATATCAATGTTTCTCCTACCGAAGCAGAAATCAAAGCTGATAGTGATCCATTCCTTAGGCCAATGCCAGAAAAAGGCTAATTTAAAGATAGACATGATTACTTAGATATTGTTTATAGGTTACTAAGAGAGGATGCTATTCGTCCACTTAGAAGAGGTGTAAAAATTTTATAAAAGTACTTATTTTTCTATTAACTTTATTTAGTCACAAACCAGAGTTGTATCCTCAATTTAATGAGTAATAATTCCAAAAAGACTTAAGATTTAAATTGTGAGAAGCAGGTGTTAAATTATATGATAATGTCGCGCTAACTGATTTAGCAGTAGTAAAAGGTAGTCCTTAAGTAGGAATCAGTATAAGCATTTATTAGGAAAATGGTAATTTCTGGAATTAGAGTAAAAGACTATTACCCGGGTCCTTGGTTATACTCTCTTCTGATGAATTTTAAACTTTAAGTTTTTTCCTTGTATAAGCAGGAAATTAGGATAGAATGGTTAGAACCACTAGATAAAGCAGATATGTTTAAATCAATATTATGATGTTAGCTAAAGTGAACGAGAATATTGGTCAATAAGCCACATTGCTTGAATATTTTATACATCATAGAAAATTGAAGCTTAAAATGTTAGAATCATAAGCATACTTTGAATCATATCGACATGTATTAAAAAAGATAAAAGAGATTGATAGGTGGGAGAAAATTCCATTCGATAAATATTTTGTTGGATTAGAAAGAACAGTAATTGATAGGCCTCCTATGTACCAATTATTTGAACAAAGTAATATCCTATAAAATGTGTAATAGTTCATAAATCTTGAAATATCGACAAAAAACTTTGATGAAAGTCAACTCAATGCAATTAAAGCTTGTTTATACTAAGAACTTGCTATTATATAAGGACCACCTGGTACAGGTAAGACATACGTAGGCTAAATCTTTGTGAGTATCCTATTGAAGATTAAAGAGAAATTCAATGTTAAAAATGGTCCCATTTTATTAGTTTGTTATACCAATCACGCACTTGATCAATTTTTGGACTTAGTTTCAGGTTTTACCGGAAATTTTGTGAGAATAGGAGGGAATATAAAGAATGAAAAATTCAAAAACCACACTTTTACCTAATATTAAAAAAAAATTGGCGCAAGATATTATTCAAGATTTTATAGCATATTGAGCGAGATAGATTAGTAATAGATTTATATTTAAGATAGAAATTCCATATTTCTTATGAATGATTTAGGAATCATAAATAACAATACAAAAGTTATGATGGCGAAGACATTGCTATTGAAAATTTAGCAAGATTTCAAATTCTATTTAAAAGATTAAATCGAAAATATTTTCTCTAATCAAGCTAATTAAGATTTTGGAAATTATGCATATCAATATATTTTCGGGCTTGTTGAAGAGGAAACAGATTTACCTGTTGTCTTTTGGCTAGGTATAATAGATCTAGAAAAATTTTTGCGAGATATTTTGCTATCCTTACAAACTGGAGAATTAAACATTTAAGATTTAGAATTGTTTGATGTAAATTTTGATGATTTTGAATAAAGAGAGAGAGATTATGAAGAATCCTTGTTTGATGATGACAATTATTCTATCCGAAGATAAATTAAATCTGAGCTCAAGACAAAATATGAAAATCTTACAATGCATTATCACAGACTTTACTAAAATGAATATTACTAAGGACTTAGCAATTTTTTCTAATGCACATAGAGAGGTTGATAAATAGGCACAAATGGAAGTGATCTTTCGAATAATGAAATTCCAAATCAGTTATTTTCTTTACCTATTTAAAGAAGATGGGAACTCAATAACTTATATCAAGATGCTTCCAGTTTTAATTCTCTATAAGAAATCAATCATATGATAGAGAGTTATAGCAATATTTACCAGGAAAAAAGAATCTACGAAAGTTTGTCATATGCTAAAGTTTTAAAAGATGTTGATATTGTGGCAATGACTACGACCGGATGTGCAAAATTTAGTGATTTACTCAAGGATGTTCAATTTTCTACAGTTATAGTCGAGGAAGCTGCAGAAGTTTTTGAAGGGCATATATTAGGAACTCTAAGTTAGTAAACAGACTAATTAATCTTAATAGGAGATCATCAGCAACTAAGACCATCTCCAGCTGTTTATGAGTTAGAGAAAAAATACAATTTGAGCATGTCAATGTTTGAGAGACTAGTGAAAAATGAACATTAATATTGTACATTAAATAATTAGAGAAGAATGAGACCTGAAATATCAAAAATGATAAAGTTCCTGTATCCTAATCTTTAAGATGATATACGGGTATAAGGGTATCCAGATATTTGTGGTTTAAACAAAAACTTATTCTTTTTCAATCATAAATAGTTAGAAAAGCAAGATGATGGATTAATGTCAAAACTTAATGTATTTGAGGCTGAAATGATAGAGAAGTTTGTAAATTACTTATTAAGATAGAATTACAAACATTCATAGATAACAGTCTTGACATTGTATTAAGCTCAGTCAGGATATATTAAAAAACTCTTTAAATAAAAAAATAGTCCTCTTGATCCTATTCAATATGTTAAGGTAGTCACAGTAGACAACTATTAAGGAGAGGAAAACGATATTATTATCTTATCTTTAGTCAGATCTAATTTGTAAAACAATATTGGCTACTTAAAGGTAAATAACAGAGTAAATGTAGCATTATCAAGAGCAAAGCTTGGCATGTATATCTTTGGTAATTCAGAGTGCATATTGAAATGTATTCAGAAAAGTGTAGACAGCTATGAGTATCTTTGGGGTGAAGTAATTTTATACTTGAAAGATCAAGGGTATTTCGGTGACTCTTTGATGCTTTGCTGCAACTTTCACAACAATATTACAGAAGTTAGGACAGTAAATGATTTTCAAAAAGTGCCAGAAGGAGGTTGTCTTGAGGTATGTAATGCTAGAATGGATTGTGGTCATCAATGCACACGAGTATGTCATTATTTCAAATAAAGTTCTTCGGACCCTAGTGGTCACAAAAAGGTCTAATGCAATAAGACATGTGATAGAGTAAATCCATGCGGTCATAGTTGCTAGAATGAATGCTATAAGTGCAAGGATTAGTTGTAGAAATGCCTCGAAGAAATAGAGATTTAAATGGAGCCATGTGGACATGTAAATAAATTTGCTTGCTATTGGAGACAAAATGCAAAATGCTAATATGACTGTGAAAAAGTAAAACCTTGTGGTCATAAATGCAATAAAAAATGTTATTATGATTGCAGTGAAGATACTTGTGATCAATATATTGAAAAGAGATTACCATCATGTGGTCATAATATCGAAGTAAAATGCCAAATAGATCCTAAAGTATTTGAGACTACTGATTAATTTGGATGCTACAAAGATTGCTCAGGAATACTAGATTGTGGACATCCTTGTCCAGAGAAATGTGGAGCTTGCTAAAAAAAGAAGTTCCATGCCCAATGTAAGCAAAAATGCAATAAAGTCTTATTTTGTGGTCATTAATGCGAGGATAATTGTAAATATGATTGTAGTCCCTGTGAGTAATAATGCTATTTCCAATGCATGCATTCTAAGTGTCCTTAATAAAAATGTGGAGACATATGCGAGCTTTGTTCAGAAGAATGCAATTTAGGTTGTATACATTCAAAATGTACCAAAAAATGCCGTGAATAATGTGATAGAGTTCTATGCAATGAGATATGCCAAAAAGATTTATCATGTGGGCATAAATGCATTGGAATTTGCGGGGAGTAATGTCCCAAAATTTGTCGAGAGTGCCATTCAAGTAATGAGGTTTATATTTTGTAGGAAGGAGAGATCTAATAAGTTTAATTGAAAAGATGTAAATGAGAGCTATAAATTTGTAGAACTTGATTGTTGCCATGCTTTTGAATCAACAAGTCTCGACTAATCATTTTTAGAAAATAGAGAAGAGAGCAAGTAATCATTATCGCAAAATGAAACTATTTTGAAATTTTACTAATGCCCAAAATGTAAAACAAATGTTATAAAATGTACGAGATATCAAAATAGAATTAATGTTGTTTTTCAGAGCATGCTTGAAATGAAGAAATATGTTTAGTAGAAAAAGGAAACCATTTAAATAGCAAGGGATGATTTATTTAGTGGTATCAAAGATTTGATTGGTGAAACTTAAAAAGATTTCGATTAAAACTTGATAATCATTTTGAACCCCATATTTTTGGAGTGGGCAACTCTAAAACATCAATTAAGAAATGTTCAAAGCACTTTTGAACTTGAAAGAAAATTCAAATTGATTAAGTGTCTAGTAACATTCGGTAAACAGATGAGAATACGAAGAATTGATTATAATGATACTGAATCAATAGCTTATTAAACTTGCCAAAATTTGTTCCAGCTAATTTTAAAGAAGAAATTTGTGATTTCAAATACAGACTACTAAGAGATAATGACTTATGCATTAAGTCTTAGATTTTGAATCAGTACATTTTGCTTTGAGAAAATAAAGATAAATATCGCTTTTATTGGCCAAGAATATTAAAATATAGATGATAAAAATTTTTGATAAATTTTATCCAATATATCACTCAATGTCATTAATCGTTTAATTATCCTTTCTAATCAACTTCAGTATTTGACGTTTTTAAATTAGAGATAATCAAAGATTTATTGTGTGTTAATTTTATTATGTCATAATTTTAATATTTCAGAATCATTATTAAGCATTTTTATTTGCTGGATTACTTTTATTTAATTCTGGAGTTTTTAATTTATCCTTAAAATTTCTCTTGTAATAACCTAGGTTTTAGTTAGTAAATTATGAAAAATTAGAGGCTTCTTAACTTCTCATTAAATTATTTTCTTTCTTTTAATAGAACTTTGAATAAATGTACTATTCTTTGTTAGGTAGAGTATCAGTATATTCAATCTCTCCAGTTTAGCTATACATTACTCCTAATGGTCAATTGGATTATTCTTGCTTGACTTTCTTTGGGCTGATTTTTTTTCTATAGTTACTCCTAATACTTGAATCCTGCTTTACGAAATTTAAATATCCTTTGTTGCTCTGATCTTCATCAATTTAGGTTCTTAAATATTTATCGAAATTTTCTTATTTATCTCTGTGGCTTTCTCCTGATAAAATATTTATCTTTAATTCTTCATGATTATTTTCATCACCTGACTTGTAAGAAAATTGTTAATTCTTTGAAAGATATGGGGTAATACTCATAGATGAGGTATTACTTAAGGGTGGATAGAAAATATTCTTATTAATGTTTTCTGAGGATTACTTTTTGCTATTAGTTTTACTTAAAACCAATTAATTAAGACTACTTTCGTCTCCTATTGGGTAACCAGGAATATGAATATCTTTAAAATCATTTGATGAGTTTTTAGGCTTAATCTTTCTTAGGAAATTCTCTTGCTATATATTCTAAGGCAATTCTTGTGATTAGAACTAAGCTAAAGACTTCAAATTGAACTTCATATTTTTGCCCTTTATTTGAGAGGATGTGGCACTTCCACTTCCACTGCCTGAACCAGTTTTATTTGAATTCTTAGAATGATATTTACCCTCATCACTTCCAGTATTACTAACAGATTCTATCGATTAAAGTTATTCATTGTTATCTAGCTATTCTAGTTGAATTTGAAAAGTTTCACCAACATGTTTTGATGAATAGTATGAATCCTTGTTTATATTTTTGTTTACTTATTAAATTTCATGATCCCTCTCAATTAAAGGTCTTATTGTTTAACTCATATCCAACTAGTCTCTATTTGTAAAATATGGAAAATTTAGTGGCCTTGAAGATGGTTCTTCATCTCTTTCCTCTGTATCTTCATTATCCTTTTCTCGAATCACAGTTAAAGATTTTCCAAATTTTTCTTCATCATATTTATTTAATCTACTTCTTTTTTATTGATATTAGATATTACTCTTATTTCCAATTTTGCATTTAACAGCTCTTTTTAGCCTTAATTTTAATAGTAGGACTTTTATCTTGAGTTTTAAGCTAAAGAAAATCTCAATACAAATCAGTAGTATATTAATGAGTAAATTGAAGATATATATTCCAATAAACAAATAGCTAGTTTGATGTTTTATATCAGATATATTTACGAAATCAGTGTAAATAATCATTGTAAAACTTAAAGCCAAAGTACATAGCTCATTAAAAACTTCAACATTTAATGACTCTATTTTCGGCCTACAGTGTAAAAGGTAAGCAATGTAAAGCACATTACATAGTCTGAAGATACAAATTTAGGCATTAAGATTATTTTTTAATCCAAAAGTAATAGCTACAAAGATGAACCTTCTCATGACAAAAATTGAATGATAGAAAATCATCATCACATTATTTGGATTGCTATCATCTAATATTTCAGCCAAATACTTTGAATTTTGCTAATGAACAGGATTTTTCCTATGCTTGTACAAAAGCCAGGGAAGTAGGAATACAAAACATAAATTTAATCCCATTGAAATAATAGTTAAGCCAAGAGCAAAGTAATCTCCTTTTTCCTTGATGCTCAAATCACTAAATGTAATAACTGCTGAAAAACTTGCCTCTAATGATATTTCAATAAAAAATCTAAATCATCTATTATACATAATGCAGACACTTACCTGATATAAAAGCTGAAAAATAAATAATCGCTCAACTTATCCGTCAAATAATTAAATCTATAAAAGCTAAATAGAAATTTAATTTACAGTTTTAGCTTAATCCTCGAAATCAATAAATAAAAGATAGTAAGAAGAATGTTCATTATCAAAATAAGTATAGGGAATCCAATTAAATATATGAAATTTGAGTTATCATAGCCTAAGAAAGTAAAATTGTCGTTGTATGGTGTATAATCATCAGATGATTGCAAATCAAATACCTTTTCTAAAATCATTTCAGTTCCAATAACATCGAAATTGACAACACTAAATAGAGCTCTGAGGAAATTGAGAATATTTGCAGAATAAGGAATTTTGAATAATGGTGTATGAGTGACAAGTTGTAAATTATTGATCAATCCCCACAGCATTTAGAGGCTAGTTCCTACTGTAGCACTCATAGCTAAACTTCCAAAAATAACAGAGGTCAACAAAGTTGATATCAAACTGTCTGAGTACTCACTAATTCTTAGCTCATCTAAAAATTTGATTAATTATAATAATTTACCGTCATTGTCAAACTGTGTTGGAACTTGTGTTGATATGATTAATGATTTATCCATGTATAACTAAGACTTAGAAGATATCGCATGCTTTGCATTATTTATAGATAGTTGAATGATATCTGCTTCCTCACCAGATGAAATGTCATGATTATTGGTAAACTTTAGTTCTAGGCTGATTCCATTTTAGTTTGAACTAATTATATCCCATCCTCTAAGTTTTGATTTACCGTCTGCTCCTAAAACTTGTAGCATTAAAAATTCTCTAATCTACTACTCACTTAATTCAACTAGAAGGGGCTAACTAAATTTAATCTTTAGTTCTTATCTCTGATTTATCTTATCTACTATAATCTTGAAGTCTTTATCAACATTGTAATTTTCTTTTATCTATCCATTTCCTTGCTGATTTGTTTCATTCAATGATTCAAAGTATTCTTCTTCATTTCTTTTTTTCTCTAAAGGTTTCACAATTATTTTTATCATATACTTTGATTCCATTGGCTATATAGTATTATTATCTTTTAGAGTAATCACAAGATTATAGGTTCCATAATCATTTAAGTCAGGGTTTAATTTTATAGACTTTGATTAAATATCAATGAATTCTGGAATGCTTTACTTAAATAAAATCAAGTAAGTTATTGTGATATTATCTCCTTCAGGATCAAAGTAAGAAGGTAGTCTATATTAGTAATTTTCATTTACATACATCTAAATATCTTATTGTATTTAACTTTGAAAAAACGGAGCACTATTTTATTATAAAGTCTGATTCATTGTATTTTACCCAGGATTAGGTTCAGAAGAATTTTATGTCTAATTCAATGTATTGTTGTTGGAAGTTTCATTGGTATTGTTATTATTTTATGTTTAATTGGTGCTTTAGGATTGATTTGTTGTTGTTTCATTGGTATTGTTATTATTATATGTTTAATCAGTATTGTTATTATTATATGTTTAATTGGTGCTTTAGGTTTGATTCGTTGTTGATTAATTTTATTGATTTGTTTGATTTATGGTCTAGTTTTGATTAAATGTCTCATTCAAAATATCTGTTTGATTAGAATTTTATAGAGGATTTGTCGTTGAATTGCCAGAATCATTTTTACTTGAATTATTTCCGCCGTTACCTGATATTGGATCTGTTTAATTATTTTCAGTAGTTGAATTAATAGTACTATTGCCTCCAGAATCAGTGTGATTAGTCTAGTTTCTTACATCAGTTTAATTTGTTTCTTGGGTTATATTGGTTTAGGTATTATTGTTTGTCTGATTTAAGTCTGGATTTGTGGTGGATTAATTTGTTTAACTCTAGTTATTCACTGTATTGTTTATAGTTTAATTTATATTGCTTGTATTATTAGTGATATTTTAATCTCCATTTCCTTCGGTATAATTAGTTGTGGCATTTTATTGTGTTTAATTCGTATCAGTCTAGTTTTTCGTCGTATTATTATCAATCTATGTTTGATTATTAGGAATAGTTTCATTTCCTCCATTCTGAGTTTCATTCAATGTACTGTTAGTTTAATTATTTGATTCTGTTTGATTTCCTTGATTTTCAATTGTTTAGTTATTTTAAGTTGAGTTGGTAGGAAGAGTGGTATTCTGAGATGTTTCATTGCTAGAATTGGTTTAATTGGTAGTTTCATTTGTTAAATTGGTTGAATTAGTTGGGATAACTGGATCGCTTTAATTGTTTGAATTGGTTGAATTTGTTTAATTAGTAGAAGTATTATTTGTTTAATTATTACTTGAGGATGTTTGATTTGTTTGATTTAGATCTGCTGAGTCATTCTGAGGAACATAAGGTATTGCAAGCATATTCAATGTGAGAGAAAGAGTTGAAGAATATTAATTATTCAATAAAGCTTTTATTAGGAGCTAATATACACCTGCTGTTAAGTTGTTGGCTGAAGTAACACTTAGTTAAGATCCTCCTGCGTATATTTGCTAGAAGGTGATAAATAGAGGAGAATTCTATAGATTCTAAAGAGATATCGAATACTTCCAAGACAAATCTTAACAAGCTAGACTATACTGAAAATCTGGAATATAAATGTCAAGAATAGATGAATTCAAGCTAATTTGGTAATTGTAAACAAGACTTGAAAGAATTGGTGGTGAAATAATTCCTTAGCTCATTAGTTATTAACATTCATCAGGAAGATTAACTAAATCCGTTATCAGCATTGATTTGCTAGTAATTCCATCAATCTATTTGAATAAAATATTTTCATTAGTTGCAGTATAAGTAGATTGACTAGGGTTCGAGAAATAAGCTGTCAGGCCTAACTGGAAAATAAAAATATTCTGTATGCTCACTGATTGAGTAACACTTGTTGTTGATGGAATACATTAACTGTAAGGATAATTCATAAGAAAACCTACTTTCTTATTATACGATTTAGAATTAATTGCTTATGTAGATCCTAGCCAATATATTTTAGTCCCATCTGTTTTGATATAGCCATCCTTTGCAAATAGTGTCTGACTTGAACTAGAAGCAAGTCTCATTAAAGTCCATGTGGTACTTGAACCAATCATGCTAACATCAGTTTGAGAAAAATAAACTCCACTATTCTCAATGTGCATTAAATACCAAACCGTATAGCTATTAAATTACACTGCTAAGCATCTTGTTTTTGCTGTCATGCTAAAATACCATGACTTTGCTAGTGCAAGGCCTGTGCCGAATGATTCTGAAAAGTCCAGAATTCCTACATCATTTCCATTTGGGCCTAGATTTTCTGCGCAAGTTATTTAAAAAATTTGACCTAGATATTCATATATCTCGATCTTAGTTAAAGCTTTTAATGCTGAACTTCCTTAAGAGTTATCTATCATATAAGAGTAACTTGCTACACCGTTTGAAAGCTAAATTTTACTCATAGCTAATAATGTCTTTATTCTTCCTACTACATATACATAGTCAAGGGCAGAAGTGAGACCAATTTCATACCCATAAAATTTATTGCTACTCGTACCATATGCTTTATAATAAATCGGACTTATCTAGTTTAGAGAAACATCAAATTAAAATGCACTAACCATTACTTTGTCTAATTCCCCATTTAATATGTAAATTTTGTTAGATGATGTCATCATTAGTCCAATAGCATAGCGACTTTTTTATATATTAAGAGAAGTACTACTATATTCGTATAATGCTTTTAGTAGTTCACCATATTAAGGGTTGTCTGAGAGAACAATTGCATAATTTTTTGTAGTTTACTAGATAGAGCATCTCGAAAATGTAAATGGAGTAACTTGAGATGTAATTGTATTAAATATGTATTATTTCTGCCATTTTAATTTTCCTGTTAGTTCATCAATATATGTGATAAAAGGAGTTGTAGCTTTATCTACAATATCAGTTGATGTTGATGAACCTGTTGCCAAAATACTATTGTCTGCTGAGTTGTAGAACAAGCAAGAAAGCTCTGTATCTCCAATCAGACCTCCTAAAACTTATGGAAATGACTATTTTGGCTGAGGAGAGAAACACCTAAGTGTTTAATCTGTAATCAACTGTCTTTTAATCTAAAATTATTTGCTTAAAGGGAAAGTGCAAATAATTATCTGTAGTATAGAAAACCCTAAAATAATCATTATTTAAGTAATAATTTAGAAAAAAATTAAAAAGAGTTCACATCTGATACTGATTGCTTAATTTATTAGCAAATTAATAAAAATACATAATGACAATAGAGAAATTTCTAAAAGTTAAAAGTATTTTTAATTAAGAATTGTATTAGATTTTCAGAGTATTCTGCCCTTTGGGGTTTTGGGGTTTTGGGGTTTTGGGG